ATTAAAATAGATGTGCATGTGCAAGTGTGCGTGTGTGTGTTTGCTGTGTTGTGTTTGTTGAGACAAAGAGGTAATGAAGCACTAACCGGTAAGCCAACAGCTATGCTTAACAACGCAATCCTATTACTGCCAGATTTCAGTTTTGCATTTGTTGTCAATGTCAATCTTGGGTCTTCCAAGCTACCATATGCAGTCCCTGCAAACCATAGATACAATGTGATTCAGACTATAAGAAAATAAACGTGTTTAGTTGGATGGAAACCATACAAATAATATTCACAGTCATCTGCTACTTGAAGTATACCTGCAAGTTGGCCATTGATAAATGCATGCAAAGCATGCCCAGCAGACTGAGCGGAAAGAACAGGGAGTTCACCTCCATTAAGGAATGATTCTGATGAACTAATATCAACACTGAAAGAATTTTAAGGACGTTAGCTGTTAAATTAATAAACAATACAACAAAACAACAAACATTTAATACTTCTAATGGATTGCACCTTCTCATGAGTCAAGAAATAATAAATGCTCTATCTCATTGGTCTACAGATTTTCTTTATTTATAAAATCAGTAATACATGAGTACTCTCTCTCTAAAGGCTGCTTCTCTCTTTCCTAACCTTTATTAAGCACATGAATACATATGCGTGTTTGTTTGAAAGGTTAAGTGGCTCACTCTGTCATGTACCACAAGTAATCAGTGGTATCTCTAGTAACGTTTATTTGCTCCAACAATCCAACAACTGTCATTGGGTCTTCAGTATAGGAAGAAGAAACTTCTTCATTGTAAGACTCCCAATAAAGTTCCGTGCCTGTCCCGGTCATTTTCATGTCTGATATTTGAACACCCACCTTCATGTAGATCAAATTAAAGTCAAAAACAAATTTCGAAAAGAAAACAGAAGCCAAAAACTCAAAGAATTCGGTCATGGTGTCCTATGTGACCTCTGCAGTATTGAAAACTGTGTTTTTGCAGTCAGGGAGGATGCTGATAGACCAAGGAGGGAGATTGTAATGCATGCCATTGAATTGCACTGTTGCAATAGATTTAGAGTCATAATTTGCAAGGAAGGCAGCACAACCGCCTGATTTTGGAGAGAACACATGAGCCTGCATAGCATGAAGTTAGTCTTAGTCAATGGTATGACAATACTTTGTGCAAGGTAAGAAATACAATAGAGAAAAATATGGCCTACCTCCTGGTAGTTTCCCAGTGAAGTTACAACTGCGTCTGCAGAAACTAACATGGGTTCACAGAGCTTGATGGCTCTGTGAAGCTCCTTCAAGTGGCCCCATTTGGGTTGCCTAATCAATCCTATGAGGAGGAGAAAAACATATTAAGAGGTTACAAAACTAACCGAAATTAATAAAATATGCTCTCTTTTCCTCGAACAAACTTAGAGAGTGGGGGGAGTGTGGGAGGGGGGGGGGGAGCATCCTTGGATCTCTCTTTCCTAATAGAGCAGTTTTGGAAGAAGTAGGATTGCACACCAAGCCTTACAAATAGCCTGTTACAATTCCTCCAGACTTATTTGGAAAAGAGGATAAGAAGGAAAAACAGGTAGAACAATATAAAATTCCATCTTGCCTGGTCTCTTCTTAAAGCATCAGGAAGTCTTGAATCTCATCTCTCTAACAAGGGCGCACATAACTCCAACATAGCATATTTTTTGATAAGAAACATATCATATCTTTGGTTTGATAAGTAGTTGTCATTTTAGTGGAAAACAAAGTACCATATTCGTCAATTGGAGCATCATAATCATAGCTGGTGGAGATGAAAGGCCCACCAGCCGTACGCCCGAAATTGGTTCCCCCATGGTACTGTCGCAAACAAGAGACAAATTCTATAGATGTAAGTCAAAGAAAACCAGAATTAGGACACCCTCTTTTTATCAATAAAATGAATCCTTGTACATCTTGTGTGCAAATAGTAAGGTAGAACACCATGTTGGATAGATGAAGGTCAAAATTCATAGGAAATGCTTGAGCCTTTCTATTGTTTCTGAATATGTTTTCTTATGCTTTTACCATGTAGTAATTGACAAAAGATCCACCCTTTTGTATAAAACGCGCAACTGCAAAGGCCATATCCTGAGCTGGTCGATGAGGAACTGGGCCCCCAAACTCTGTATACCTGCAAGAACAAATTCAATAGAGCTTGGAGCTTAGATAAGCCACAATCCTTTTATTACTTTGAAACGCTGTGATAATTCAGGTACCAGAGCCTTATTATGTGATATAGTTGTATAGCTCATGAAAACTGGACGCTAAAAGTTTAGCACGTGAACGACATCTTCTGTCTTGAACTTTTAGTGACGGATTGTAGAAAATAAAGCATGTTAATAGTGTAAAATATTAAGCTTGAAGAAGAAAGAAAATATTTACCAGCCTGTCCAGGCTTCAGTCCATATCTTGGGTTTGTAAGGCTTGTTGGGCACAAAGTAATCGCAGTAGAAACCATTGCAGGTGTTTATCTATGCAATACAAATTGCAGATATAAATAACAGTGATTCAGGCATCCATCATCCTCTCTCTCTCTCTCTCTCAAGTCTCAATCAATCAAACAAACGCAGAGTGAGGTGAATAAAAACTAAGAAAAGCACAAACACACAAAAATGAACGTGACAATTGAATTCAAACATGCGAAACTTAACCAAGAAAAAATGGAATTCATTAAAAAATTAAACCGTGGCTGCACAGGATGATCAAATTTATTGCTTATTATGGAAACAAGGAATAAGCAATCCAAGAATCATAGTTTCGACATGAAATTCAAAAAGGAGAAAAACAAGAAAAATGATGGGACAGAAACTAGTCTTCTTCCAATAGAGACAATATCCAATGGATCCATCCAAAGAAGACTAATAAATGAGCCTGAGAAAAGTGTCAATCAACAACCTGATATTGAATAAAAGAACCACAAAAAAACCAGCAAAAATGAAAGGAGATAAAAGAAGACAGAGAGAGAGAAGAAAATGAAAACAACCACGTACAATAGGATCAGGAGCATCATCTTGCTTGCACATAATCCATGGTACTCCAGTGCCAAGGCTCACTGCCATATTTGCAGCCCAAGCTGCGTATGCCTTCCCAGGAGCTCCAATCTCCCATTCTTCAGGCCCATACTCATTCTCAATCTACACAAACAGTTAAAGTACAATTTACAGGGTAAGAAAGAGAAAAGCAACCATCTTAGAGAGAGAAAGTGGGGAGGGGTAGTGGGTTTTTTACTTGAGATAGAATGATTGGGCCCCCTTGAGACTCGAACAGTTTCTCAGCTTTCATCATGTTCACAATTTTTGTGGTGAACGTTTGCATTGCCATCTGCAAAAAAGAAAATCTCTCTCATCATCCACCACTAAATTTTGGTCTTCTCCACTAAGAGGCAAACGCCCACACTTGTAAAAGCCCCAAAACGTCATAATTTCTATCAGGAACGATTAGACATTCAAAAAGAGAGAGAGAGAGAGAGAGAGAGAGAGATACCTTAAAAGGCCCATTATCCGTTCTAAAACTCATGCCGGGAACGTATTTGAGCCAAACAGGAAAGCCCCTGAGCCCACAAATCATTAAACATCATTTAATCAGATGCAGAGTGAGAAGCAAAAAAAAGAAAGGTTCACTTCCTAGAGAGAGAAAATGTATTACTAAAAGAGAAAAGAGGAGAGAGAGAGGGACGAACCCAAAGTTCCACTCGGCGCAAACATAGGGGCCGATGCGAAGGTTAAGGTAAAGACCAGCTTGCTGGACCAGCTTCACGAACCAAACCAGGTCGTATCTCCCCTCGAAATAATACTGAAACACCATTCATTCAATAACACAATCCATGGTGACAAATGTGGGTCTTTGACAAGAGATCTTGGTCCTCAAAACCCAAAAAAGAAAAACAAGAAAAACTCTCTCTCTGAAACCCAACAAAAGAAAAACCCATCTCTAAAATCCAGCAGAAAAATTTGAGGAGACCAATCACCTCTCTCTCTCTCTCTCTCTCTCTCTCTCTCT